TAATAACGCAAGCGATATCCTGCCAAAAGTAAATACACTTTATTTTCAAAAGAGCACTTAACACTGGAACTTGTGAACAAAATAAACAAAACAACCAAAAATAAAACTGACTCTCAGTCTCCGTTAACAAAAAAAAGAGAAGATGGGCATATCGGAGACCTTACGCTGAGGAAGGGGGGGTCAGTGGAGAGCACCAGAGTTCAGCCTTTTTTCATCCGGTGTCATCAACAGAAAGAGAAAAAGGCAGGAAGAAAAGATAAAGCCGATAAATTAAAATGAGGTCGATGATTTTCCTCCATTATGCGATGAATTGATTTACTGTTTATCGCGACAGGCCTATTTAAAGCTGTTTTGACCTTTCACCCTGACCTCTCTTGTGTGTTCCTTAGTCTTCCAGATGCTGTTTGTTCACCGGTGAGCTCTAACAACACAAAAATGGCCCATTTTGAACACAGACAGCATAAGACGCACTCGGTTACACTGAATTACATTCCAAGGCGTCTCGTCAAATGGGCCGGGAGGGGAGGAGGAATACAAATACACTGAGGCTTGTGGTTCTGGAGGCATCTTTTTTTTTTTTTGCAAGGCTTTATTTCTATGGTGACTCATCAAGCCACATTACAAAATGAAAGCAGCGCTTCAATGAATGGAGGTAATTTGAAAAAAGCCAGCTTAATCATTAATCATGTCTGTGATGTGCACATGCCGTGGTATCTCAAGAAACCCGCAGCATTTATAGAGCCTCCCTACAGGACCAGACAAACAGGCTGTAAAGTGACGGCAAAAAGTTTATTTTTTATTAATAATTACACAACACCGTTTTTTCCACCACCTCTGTGAGGAAGTGCTAAAACATTCACAGGACATTGACAAAGGAAGAGGTGATGTAAATTAGTCCTTATCGGATAAAAGACCGGACAAAGAGGTTTGTTAAGTCGGTTAAATCTTTTGGCTTAGAAGCAGTTTACAAAAGCTCCGCAGTGAGTTGGACATGTTCTGACCTCCCCTACTCGCCTTTTCAGTGTAAGGAAATGTGCCGGACACTGTTAGAGCCAGAAACACTTTATGCAAAAGGGGAAACCGAAGGCAGGCGAAGCCACACATCAACATAGGAACAAACACGGCCACTCAATCCTCTGAGAGAACAATATCCTCACTTTGCATGATGATTTCCCTCGCGGGGTCTTCATTGCCCTCGCCCCTTTTTGTGTGTGTGTGTGCTTGCATTACATTGTTACCAAATGAGTACAAATGTCCTCCTCTGTGGACAAAAAAAACCCTCAGCCTTCCACCGTGCTGGCTGTGTCCAGGCCTCATCCATCCATCGGCAGTGCTCCCCAACCCCACGTCCTACACTGTGCCCCCCTCCCATCCACAAGCGTCGCGCTCTACCCCCAGCCCGCTCTTTGACATATCGCTGTTGTGGCTTTCCGGGCCTTTAAGCTGGCTGTTGTCAGAGGCAGATTGAAGACCCTTTGTGTGTGTCAGCCCCTGTCCTGAGTGGCCTGGGAGGAACCTGCTGGGCGGCGAGCGGAGAGACAGGAATGCGCATATGAATGGACCAGTGTGTGCTGGGCACCTGCTGACAGAGCCGCGGCATGTCTCTATGAGTCTTAGTTCATCAGCGTACCCATCTTGTTCAATTACACGTGCAGCCCGGTGTTGCATTCCCTGCAGCGAGCCGGGCTGAAAGGAAGGATTGTCACCACCATTGTGACCATTTCGCTGTTTGCTATTGTTGGGAACTTCCTAACGAATTAGGTGCCAGCTCCTCTGCTTTAGGTGTGACTGATTATCACCTTTGCTCCTCAGCTTGCCTCACTAGGGTCTGTGAGCAACTGAAAACGTATCTCAAGGCTTCGGCGTGGAAGATTGGTGAATTTCAAACGCTCAGTGAGTTTTACTTTTGAGCACCACTGCACAAACACAATAAATTAGTCACCAAAATTCCCTTTCTTTGCTCTTATGTTGTCTTTTATGGTGGTGTGAAGTGATAAGACTCCCACAGCATAATGTAAACATGAGAATATACAAAGGTCAGTGCTGCTTGCATCATGCCGGAAAAGTTTCAGGATGTCAGGGAGCAACATGAAGTGGTGATTTCAGTCTGTGTACAAAAGCACGTTTACAGTGATGGATGACCTCAGTGTTGCATTAAAGGTAAAGTTAATGCTTCCACACACAAATAACCCAGTGTCTTTCAGGTATCTGCCTTATTCCGATAGGCTCATGATGGCTCTTCTTGAACTCTGTGAAGGTCTCCTGCACAGGCACTGAGGAGCAGAGGCAGGGGTTGATGAAAGGTAAAAATATAATGACGGGATGAGGTTTGGGGTTTCCAAGGAGGAGGCGAGTTTACCCACAGAGGCTAAAGTTGACTGATGGTGGGGAGTGGTGTTTGTTGGTGGCGTTTCCCCTTTTGTTTTCTTCTTCCTCATGAAGGTGGAGCAGACAAAGGATGGTTGAAGGATGGACATGCAGGTAAGTACGGTGGGTTGACAGTGGTAAGACCACACAGTGCAAACCAGGGGAGCAGCCAGGGGAGCAGCCAGGGGAGCAGCCAGGGGAGCAGCCAGGGGAGCAGCCAGGGGAGCGGTGAGGAGACCTACAGAGAATCTTGAGGTGAATTCTCCAACTGACTTGGGGGGCGAGGAGGCAGAACGCTGAGGGAACTTACTGAGGACGGGACAGCAAGAAAGGTAAATGAGGCCGCAGCAATCAAAGAGCAATCCATGATGTAGTCATTATGGAGCTACATCATGCATTTGCTCAGGGGAATCCACTCCTCTTAGGCCTAGTGCACACAATACCTGAGAAAACAAATACATTTTTACTTGGGCTTTCTTCCACTGAGTGGCTTGTCAGTCCATGTTGGTGCAAGACTCATTTCACTCTGAATGACGGCATTCTCTTGTTGTTCAAGCACATTCATCTCTGGTATACTGAACACATCTTCTTCCTGGAGGGTAAGAAGACTGGACATTCAGGGGGTTGTTGTATGCTCCCAAATACTCATTTATAATGATGAACATGAGTTGGTAGGAGTTTGCTACGCTTCAGGATTGCCGGTTTAATCCCCGCCACGTCCGCCTGTATCATTGTGTCCTTGAGCGAGACACTTCACCCAACTTGCCTGCTGGTGGTGATCTGATGGTGGCAAGCTAACTGAACTGTAGCTTTCCACCGTTAGTGTGTGAACGGGTGATTGAGTGTAGCGTGAAGCGTTTGATACTTGACAGAACTCTATCTTTCCTGTTGTCTTTCGATTCTCCCTTCATGTCATACAAAGGAAGCTGCATTAAAATACTTCCTCCATTTAACTCAGATGTGGTCAATTGACTTATCAGAAGCTCACAAAGCAAAGTTATCATCATCAGGACTTTCTGAAATTGTTCACAGTGTGGGTAAGTACTTGATTTTATTGTATTTGAATGCAGAAAAGATATTTTTTGTTTACAGGACAGAAAGGTAAACGCAGACATTAGGTTTCAAATTGTCTTCAGCAAACAGCAGACGAAAATAAATAACAGACTGGAAAACTTTCGAGCAACACAACAAGCGGAGCACGGTCGATTTGGAAAGCTCCTGTGGAGATTCAGCGGGTGATAAATTACTGCGTGATTTCTAACAACAGTCTGCCATGAATGGCCCCAGATATCTGACTCCAAATCCTCCATTAATTGCCCTTTCAGTCATATGGAACAGCTTATGTTGTTTCTCTGGCAAAGCTTTCGAGAAGATTACATCTCCATAATCAATATTTAAAAAAAGAACAGAAACGTAGCCATCCATTCCAGGGCACAAAGAAAGAGAGGAAGAAAAAAAAAACACACATCTGGGGAAATAAACTTTCCCCTCCTAAGATGTACCCACGCTCACACAAGAGGTGCAGCGTGTTGAGTGTACATAATTACACCCAGGAACTTTTTCTCAATCATGCGTGATGTCTGCCATGTTTTGATATCCACCAGATGTGTGGATTTCAGTGTAGTTTGAGACTTGGCTTCCAGAGAATGCATTTTAAAACATTTTTGCTTTGGAGAATAATATATGACAGAAACACACACACACGCCCCAGTTAATTCTGTTTGTGTTTGGCTGGATCACCTGATAACTGACATTTCCCATAACCGCAGCGCTGTCTGCCTGGACGAGCTGATCTGCGGCCTCTGGACTCATGGATCCCATCACCCACTGACCTGGAAAGCGGGCGTGTAAGATCTGCAACATCCCATCAACCAGCAGACAACACACGCTTCTTTTGAAGTGGGAGCGGGGCCAAATTGGATTATGAGGCAACTCTGAAGATCAGCTCCCATATATTTGATTACACACGCCCCCGTCGCCCAGAGCCTCGCCAGAGCAGGATGCAGAATGTGAAGCTGTTCCCTAACCCCCTAGTATGGCGCTCTGCATCTCAGTGCGTGCCCATCTGCCAGCCATTTACTTGATTACTTCAGCTCTGATGGGCCCCGGCTCTGCCAGGGCTGCTAGGAAGCTTTTGTCTAGGTGGAGACAGGGGAGATAAGAACCAGGTGATGCTTTCATCTGTGAAAACCAACATTTAAATGCAAACAAAATACCTGGTTCTGGGACAGGATGGAGCTGGATTTAGTTTAACCATTTCCACCACTGGACATCCATAGAGCATTTATTGTTGATTCTTTTGTATAACAGTTCCATCTATTCATCCATCCATCAAGTTTTTCCATCCATCCATCCATCCATCCATCCATCCATCCATCCATCCATCCATCCATCCATCCATCCATCCATCCATCCATCCATCCATCCATCCATCCATCCATCCATCCCTTTCCAACTCTCTCGCCATAAAATTTTCTATCCATAGATCATTAATCAGTCCATCCTTTTGTTCTTTTCATCAATCCTTCATTCATTCTGCTGTTTTAGTTCCTAGATTTAAAGCCTAAATACTAAATATCTTACAGAAACTCACAAAGAATGTTTCATTTTTAATTAAATTGTGCTAAAAATGATAGAGAACAATGTGTTTGCATCTTGAGAAGTCAGACAGATTCCCATATTTTTTTATTTTTTTTAAAACAAAAAAAAAACATTATTATATATTTACATGTTGGTTCATATGTAGTTCTTTGTTTGTTCCATTCCAAAGCCGCCTCTTCTGCACAGAGATATTTGTCAGGCTCCAGAGGTCCGAGGACAGGCCGTTCTCATTATCTACTCGCAGACAAGCGTACTGTATAAAATGAGACTAAAAATCTCGTCATGCAAGCATGGCACACAGACCACCTTCTATTTCAGGGGAAAATAACATCCAGTACCGGTTTAAGTTGGACTCATTATGGTGGAAGTGGGTTCCAGGCCCAGGAAGTTTCATTGCTTTCCAAATAAAGCTTGCTAAATAGAGCAGCGATCCAAATTCCTGAAACTTCTGGAATCCTGTCCAAGTCTTCACTTAAAGTGAAAACTCCCAGCCTATATAGGTAGACCTATTTCAAAAGAAGGGACGAAAAAAAATAATAAAAATCTTCTGTTTCGACATGAAACAAATTCAAACCAGGTCAGGAAAAATGATCAGTAACGACTGAGGCCTTCGACATTCCTGCAGTGGGTTTTCATTACCTCACTGCTCACAAATCTAAAACATCGACTTTGATCATGTTTCACAGAATGTGGCAGTGGGACACTTTTAGAGGATGCTGTGGGGCTGGTCTATTAGTCAGGGTGTCATGTAAAGCAGCCTCTCAACTCTGAAAGTACCTTTTCTTGCTTTTTTTGCGCCACTGAGATGAATAAAGGCCCCAGAAACCTGCTTGCCTTCACTGTCACTTGACATTCAGTGGGGACACGACCGGCTCCAGCTCCTCGGCTGTGTTGGGGGCGGCAGGGGAAGGAACTTGTCACCGAGCATAAACAGCTCTCCTGGCAAAGATCCACCGAGCTGAAATGCAGCTCCCCCTCACCCCAACCCCAACCTACCCCCTCCTGACACCCCATCTCCGTGTGCTGTGTGGCGTCAGCAGCAATGAGCTCCAGATGTGGCCTGGCACCCCTCCAGTCACGGCATGGATGTGGTTGGAAGCGTAGTTTGGAAACACCACCCACCGGCGGACCCAATGAAAGTGCGCCAGCCTGCATCGAGAAGTTTTTCTGCCGTGGGTTCCCGATCCGCGTGGGCTGCAGGGAAACGGGAGGAGAGCTTTTAAAGTTCTGCACATTCGCAGAGGGAGGAGGGACGGTAGAGCGATGGAGGGGGGTTAATCTGCCTCCTGTATGTCCATGTGTTACATATTTAACATGGTTTGACATGTTAGACATGCCAGACAACAGCTAAAAGTATTTCCATCTGCTTTAGCTGAGCTGGATTTTATTTTATTCTATTTTTTTTAACTGAGGTTTATTCAGACCAAGGAAAAATAGATTGTTCATGTTGTTTATAACTCTGAAAACTCTACTAAAATGAAATAGTTTGATGACTTAGGAACCAATCACTAGTATGTAGTATGCCTGAGTGCTGGTGTGTGTCTTACTGTTATAGCTGTTCCTCTCATGTTATTTTTGCTGTTACGTTTTCCAGTGGCGTGAAGGAAAAACTGAGTAAGCTCGCTCTTGTTAGCTCCCATGAAATTTACATGCCAAGGCCAAACACTGTGATCTTCCATTAGACAACAGCTCCCCCTACTGTCTGATATTAGAGCCAATCACACACATCCTGCACAGACAAGCCAATAGGGAGCAGTCTGTACTGTAATTGGGTTTATTAGTGCTGATAGAGTTTCACATTTTGGGCCTTTAATGTTTCTATTTTTCTTATCTTCCATGTTGGAATTGCCGTCATTATTGTTGTTTATGTGTGCAGCACTTTGAACCAAGGCGGTTGCTATCTAAATCAATTAGATTTGATCCACTTTTAACATTCTTAAACTTTAACTTTCAGAGGGTTTTTGACCCTCTAGTTCAAGCAAACGTCACAGAATCTTAACCAAGCTTATCTGGAAAATTAACTCATTGCCTGAATTCAAAATGAGGTTTTGAAATGTTTTCACGTTTTGTGGAAGTTTGAGAAGTACAGACGATACAAAAGCGGTGAAATGAAGATCAAAGACTGGAACGATGCCAGAGGTTAAAAATGTTATTCAACGTTCACCGATTCTGCCAGCGTTCCCAGAAAATAAATTAATGAATGTATGAAAACCGTACATTCACCATGTATGGTTTTCATCTTGTGACGTGTGGGTGTCTGTGCGTGCGTGCAACGTTGGCATCTCCGTCCTTTATGACCGGGGTGGTTTGAGGATCTCCTGCAGATCTCCCTGCTGTGTCAGCTGGTAGGGCAGCTGGAGCTTCTTGTTCCCCTGGCTGCAGAGCGCAGGGCAACGGTCGAGAAGCAGCTGGCACACTTTACCGTGGCCCTGTTCTGCAGCCTGCTCAAGCATCAAGCAGAGAAATAATCACAAATATTGATGAAACATCACAAAGATGTTTCTGTGGAATGGCAGCGCTGATGATCATTGCGTACCTTGTGCAAAGGATTCGCACCGTCGTCATCACAGAGGGTGGGATCTGCACCGCTTTGCAGAAGGAGCTGAACCACGTCCGGGTGACCGCAGTACGCTGCTCGATGGAGCGGGGTGGCCCCGCCCGGAGTCTGAGGGGACGGACACGCGCCGCTCTCAAGGAGAAACGTGCACACGGCAAGATGTCCGCCACGGCTCCCGTAGTGCTGAGGTAAAGCGCATAAATTACGATGTAATTGTGCATGTTTGATCAGGCACAGCACACAGTTAAGATAAAAGATGCAGCTTAGACAGGCATTTACAAGTCAAGGCTTAAAGAAAATCCATTTAAAAACGGGATTAGGGCCATTATGTAAAAAAAGAAAAGCACAAAACGACAAATAAGTTTTAAGAGAATTACTAAAACACGTTACAATTCACAACAGATTTATAATATGTCATGCAACTCGGAGCTTTCTAAGAACATTCCTAAACAAAGGATGGGGCCTAAAATGGTTCCTTTTAGAAGCACTCGGTCAATTTCCTGAGAGAAAGACATAAAGTTACCAGTTACAACACAGGTTTCACCTATTCACACCTGATTCAAACTGGACATCCTGACCCAGGAAATTCAGGTTTCCAAATATTTCACTTCAACATTTAGTGTCTTAATCTTCCTGAGGAATAAGGCAATATAATTAAAGATCCCATTTTCATGTTATTGTCAGCGCAACATGGTTAATGTTGCACAGAGTTCCACTTGTCATTTCTTCCAAGTTTGGGTTCATGTGTAATGGGTGAAACAGCGCCCCCTGGTGGTTGGCAGAGATAAATACAGTGAACGCAGACATCTCACTGCCAGGTGGTCGCGAGGTGGGTTCACTGAGTTTAACGCTCAGACAAAATGTTAGATTGATGCTAACATGAAATGCTATTCCTCGTGAGGAACTGTTCCGCTGTGATCAGTCCATATTCTGTTCCGCATAGATAAACAACCTTCTTTCACATCTTTTTTTCTTCTTCCCCAAGTCACTGGCTTTGATGCTGCTACCCCAACAGATGAACAGCTTCCAAATGGACTCACCAGAGCTGTGTACCCGGCTGCATCTTTCACGTTCGGGTCAGTCCCCTTCTGAACAAGGAGCCTGACTCTCTGCAGCTCTCCATCCATAGCAGCTGACCAGATACCTGCAGAAAGAAGCGGCACACAACACTGTACCCGGCTGGCGACCACTAACCAGAAAGTAACACGCGAGAGCTGGTTTTGTTGGGGAGAGCTAGAACTGTCCAATAATCTGACGCCACTGGTTTGACAAATGAATGCAAACCTCTTTCAAAATCCATTTCATCCAGAGTCTGATGAGCACTGGAGACGGGATGGGAGCAGCATGAACAGTGGTGCTGGTCAGACATGGCTGCAACTGGAAGGACAGCTGACAAACAGCTGAGTTTAAACCCCAATGTTGGAACCGCAGAAAGGCACAAAGATTATAAAAACAGACATGCTTGTAGTCCAAAACTTTATGTCTTAGCGCATAACAACACATTTACCACCGACAGGAGAAGTTTTGTGATATTAAGACGTAATTTCCGAAAACAATAGTATGTACAGAAAACTGTACTGGCAGCGTAACCTGCAGCTGTTTTCAAAGAAACGAAATGTTTTGAGTTCAGGATGGCTAGATGCTAAAGCTAAACTGAAGGGTGCGCTCCATTTGTAAGCCGGAGACGCAACCGGTGCACTGGGTAGGCGTGTTTTACACACACCATTCAAAACGGTGTGTGGAAATTGTTGGTTTGTTAGGACAATTTTGACGGTCTGACATGCATTTTTTTTGGAGTGTTGGAGAGACGTATACCCAGAAAGAGTCCATCACGAGAAGGGCCAGCATGCAGACTCCATGCGGAAAGATATCCATAAATATCAGGAATACATTTCGAGCATGATCCTGAAATGTAAAAATGACATCTTAAATGTATAAACATTTTGATTGGAATAAATGTGTTTCAAAATGTAACAAAAAGCATATTTCAACTCGTGTCCATCCATCTATCTGAACTCTTAGCTCTATTGTTTAAGAGGAAAACTCCTTCAACGCCAACTCGTCATCAATTCTGCCCGGGTTCCTCACCGGCTGACTGTTAAGGATACGCCCTGTCTGACGCACATAACGTTCTTACGTAAAGGGCCCTTGGCCAATAGCAGAGTGTCATATGAAAAGTATACTTCAGGTACAGTCTACTCTTTGTATTGTCTAGCTATAGATCTAGAAAAATAATACCCAGAGAAAAATAAATGAACTCTTTGGAAAAAAGTTACCAAAAGGGTTTAAAGTAAATGCTAACATAACACTATTCTTTAAAAAACAGCATATATTAACCATCGTGCTGGTACTTTAACGAGGTGTTTTAACGATTTAGATTCAAATAAACAGCAGAGTTTTGCTATACTGCTGTTATACTAACAAAACGTTTTTGACAGTGTTCCTCAAAAGTCCAGCTAAGAGCATCTTGTAATTTCTTTACAAGTCTCTAAGGTGCCTTTACTACTAATGATAAGGGATGGGAATACATCGAAGCAGATTTTTCCCGGAGTTCTTGAAGGCATCTTTTTTTCTCGCGTTATTGTCTGATGTAGCTAGTTGTCCAGCTTTATCTAGATATCTGGTAGTTAGCTGGCTGAAAAACAAAGCCCTGTTTATTAGTCGGACTTATATGAAGTCACTTAGGACCAAAGCGCGCAGAGAATGAGAAGAGTTACCCTGTTTGTTAACGGGACGTCTAAGAATGGCAAGGTGGGTGAAAAGTGGGCCGCAGAATGACTGCTTTCCCCCCCACCGAGCTACTGAAGGTGTATCATAATGGGGAAAACTGTCACTATTCGCTGATACTACGCAGTTATACAGAGTAAAACTCGATGTTGGCTGCGGGGACGCTAGATGCGGCCTATTTCCTGGCTTTACAATAAAGCTCACTTTTATTTTCATCAATTTTTCTTTCCAGGTTGTAGCAGTTTACGGGACCTTGTCTGATCTACTGTCAGTGGCGAGCAATAAGCTGGGAATCAAAGCTTCCTGTTTATACAATGGGAAGGGTGGTCTCATAGACGACATTGCCCTAATACGGTAAACCCATTCATTCCGCAGCATGGTGGATTTTCCCTCAGATTGTGTCCTAAAAGTGTTTATATGTGTGTCTGCCATCAGGGATGATGACGTGCTGTATGTGTCAGAGGGAGACCCATTTATTGGTGAGCACACACTCTTCCTGTATGTGCTGCCAGTCGGCGTGGACGTGTGTGAAACATCTGTTTTGTCATTGGTAGACCCACAGAGTGAAGCCAGGGTTACATCTGACCAGCACGGAGCACACACCGACTGGCTGACCCTGAATATCGGCGGTCGCCTCTTTACCACCACAAGGTGCCTGTGCTTTAAATCATCAATTGGTTGAATGCATTACTGGATGTCACAATATGCAATGCCTCTTAAAAGTATCTATACAGTACATTTGTTGGAAGAAAGTATGGATTGAGACGATTGATCTCAATCCATACTAAATGACTAATTGAGTAATTGACTACTGCGTAGTCAATTACTCAATTAGTCATTTAGTAATCAATTAATCCTTGGCTGGAGTATACAAACAGACTCCAAGAAAGGCCATTTACTGGAAAAAAAACCCCAAACATATTCAGATCAGTAATTAAGCCAAAACTGTACCAAATATGTATACATTTTCTATTTAATATGAAAAGCTTATGTCTGTGAATATGTGGCAATAAGTTAACTAAAATGCTATTTTGTGTTGCATTGTACTAGGCAAAAAACTAATTCAATCATTTAATGTATTGTATGCAAAAAAGCTAAATGAAAAACCTATAGACTGTGACTAATCAATTAATCATAAGAATAGTTGTTTATTGAAATAAACATTAGTCGCAGTCCTAAAAGAAGGCCATCAGAAGTCACGTTTGCAGTTTGTTTCAGCATTGGAAATATGTAGAAAGGCTGGTGAAATTGTAATATTTTGCTTCAAAAATAACAAAAAATTATTGGATATGAATCATTTTTGTGAAGCAAGTATGCCAGTTTTGCTTTTGTTTCAACTCTCTCTGACTTGTGTTCAGGAGTACTTTGGTCAGCAAGGAACCGGAGAGCATGCTCGCTCACATGTTCCGTGAAAAAGGTACCCTTCACATCCCCACTGGAAAATGTAATTGTAATGTGAGTCTTTTGTCACTGAGGGGTGCTATTCTCTGCAGATGTGTGGGGTAACAAACAGGACAACCATGGGGCGTACCTGATCGACCGCAGCCCTGAATACTTTGAACCGATTCTGAACTATTTGAGACACGGCCAACTCATAGTCAATGAAGGAATAAATATACGAGGTGAGCTTTTTCGATTTTCCTCCACCACTTAGTCATTGTGTTGCCTACAACACGCAGTCCAGTGCCATGACGAGTCATGCGTGTTCTCCAGGAGTCTTGGAGGAGGCTCGGTTCTTTGGAATTGAGCAACTGGCTGAACAGCTGGAAGTTGTAATCAAGGTATTGTGAAATGCACATTTGAGTAACGTAATCACCCCTCTTTGATTTTTATTTTTGACCAGTTTTTACCATTTAAACAGAACTCGCAGCCGCCCGAGGATCACTCTCCCATTTCCCGAAAGGAGTTTGTTCGTTTTCTCCTGGCGACCTCCACCAAGTCGGAGCTCCGCTGTCAGGTGTCGCTGACTGAAGAGGTTTCGTCTCTCGCTCGCTGTCCGAAAAGAATATTTAGCCAACGTCGCTCTCGTTGTTTTATAGGGTCTTAACTTCAGTGGTGCCGATCTGTCTCGACTTGATCTGCGCTACATCAACTTCAAGATGGCTAACCTCAGCCGCTGCAATCTGACGCACGCTAATCTGTGCTGCTCCAATCTGGAGCGGGCCGACCTCTCTGGAGCCAACATGGATGTAAGTGTTCTTTTTTTTCTCTCTCGTAACTTTTTACAGTTGATTGACAAAATATGCGCTTTTTACTTTGTTTTTTTTAAAGGGCGCTAATCTGCAAGGAGTCAAGATGCTCTGCTGCAACGCAGAGGGAGCTTCTCTAAAAGGGTGCAACTTTGAAGACCCGTCCGGATTGAAGGCCAATCTTGAAGGCAAGTTCTCCGCAGATGTTCACCAAAAGACTCAATTTGTCCACGTCTGTCATCTCATGTCGGCTCTTTTCGATTTTACGGCCAGGTGCGAATCTGAAAGGAGTTGACATGGAAGGAAGCCAGATGACCGGCGTCAACCTGCGTGTGGCCACTCTGAAAAACGCAAAGCTGAAGAACTGCAACCTGCGGGGAGCCACTTTAGCGGGGACGGATCTGGAGGTAGAGTGAAGGATTATCTGTTAAAAGCAGCCAGAGAAGCTGAGTCAGAGGGCAAGCTTTGAGAAGACCTTTTGTTTTTGTTTTAAACAATCGGGTCAGATTAAAATATAACTCATCTACGGGCCACCTTTAACACGCTACGCACAGTGTGGGGGGAAAAGGAGGCTTTATCATTAATAATGAAAAAACAACTAGAATCCAGACTTAAAAACAACATAATTGTGAGACAGAACGACCGAAAGACTCAATTTGTCCAATTTAAAATGCATCCAAAATACAAGTTAAAATATTGAAATCCAGGAAAGTACTTTACAAACAATACAGTGAAACAATATTAATGAAAAAGTGAGTTTACGTGCATTTAGGTTTGCACACTATTGAATACAAATCACAACAACGATAATGAAAGTTTCCCCCACAAACAACATTTCACAAAATCCATTCATCCGGTCCAAGTGTAAATACAGCAAAACTGACAAAATGTATAAAATTGTGAAGGATGCAGTTGATTTATCTATGTTTGGTGTTATGACCGTGTGTGTGTGTCACAATAGATTTTAGAAATAGAAACACAGGTTAAATATTTATTTTTGATTTAAAGTTATCAGAAAAAAATCTGAGCTTTTCTCCAGCTCAGTTTTGCTTTCATCAAACCAGATGTGCGTCAAGAGATAATGTACTTAGAAGAATGTACCTGGAAATGTTTTTAAGATCATCCTTGGTTTTACCTGTTGGCACAGACATTTTTTCATAAGAAGAAAACAAATGAGTGTCACGAGCCACAAATCACAGCAAACAGCACCAGAAATAAAAGTGACCCCCGAATAGGTCACCTCTTATAGTAACAAATGTGGCCCAAGAAATTCTTGTTAATGGTTAACATAATTCTTAAGTAATTTGTCAGTTCTGTCAGAAAAGTCAAGCAAGTTTATGAGGTAAAAAATACTGTGAACAACTGTGTCAAAAGCTTGAGATCAGTCTAGAAAAAGAAATTCTAAAGCATCGTCATCACAACTTGATGAGTTCCTGAGTTTATCAGCCGACACAAGCGCATCGGTTTCTACGGTATTTCATCTGTTTTGGGTTGATGCAAGACAAGAAGAAACTTCTGAAAAGTAGGAAGATTAAAAAGCTATAAAAAATAACTAATGCAACCGATAACTTTATTAGGAGCATTAAAAATCTCTCCGATCTAGACCTTCACACGGTAATATTGGAGATTGATTGCTCTTTCCATAGAGATGTGATTTACATCTGTAGCTATGTGTAGGTTAATATTATTTTAATTAGTTTATGGCAATTGATGCATAATATTTGACGTTTTAATTATCTACTGATGCTCTGTTATTCTATAAATTGGGTATGTGTTTTTGTTTTGTTTTACATTTACCCAATCGTAAATAACAATTTTTCTAGTCTTGATTTAGAGTTGAATAATGTCTGAATTGTGTTTTGAATGCGCTTCTTCAGTCAAGTGAACATCTGTCAGATTGTGTCCTGATCTGCTCGGTATTTTAACGCCTCTCCTTTGTGTTTCGCTCTTTCTCGACGCAGAACTGCGACTTGTCTGGCTGCGATCTGCAGGAAGCCAACCTGAGGGGCTCCAACGTGAAGGGGGCCATTTTTGAGGAGATGCTGACTCCTCTGCACATGTCGCAGAGCGTCAGATAATTCGCCAACCTCTCTCTCTCTCTCTTTCCACGTTGTCTCTCTCCATTCCCCGTGTGTCATACAGCACATTCCTCCTCGTCGAATCGGGCTTTACCCGTCCTCCGCTGCGGGTAAACGGCATGCGCGGCTCCCTGGCGTTCCGACAATATTAGACTAGCTTTAAATACATTGCACTACGAGAAGCTCCCGGGGTTGACGGCGTGCGTTTCCTCGACATCCTGCTGCATTTATCGCCAAAACTTAAGTAGTCTTCCTCGCGCGTGTCCGGACGCAGTCCAGTGATCCTGCTTGCTGTTGCGTGTGTCGTTTTATTTATCTCGTTTCACTTGACGTGCTACCAGGAGTTCGAGTCAGATTACATGTGAGCAGAAAAAAAAAAAGCAGGGCTTCACCGAATGCTGCTGTAGCAACAACAGAAGGGGTTGCTACACCAATCACTGTGTCCGTGCGCAAAAGGATGTCTCCTTGAAATATTAAACTTTACGTTGCTGGATTATCAAGCCAAAGCCATACAGCGCAGCAGGCTTCAGTCCAAGAGGCTGAAACCGCTGTCGGTGTGCCGCAAAACTATGCTACAGCTTGAATATGCAATGTGCCGTGCAGAGCTGTAACGTTTCTCATTGTTGGTGTTTGTTTTAGTGCTCTGTGAATCTACCTCCTCTACTTTTTCTGTGTGTAAGCCTCCCACAGTTTTGCATGCTTGTGAGTGTTGCATGGCTTGTGGAATCGTCCACGTCTGTTCGGGTTGTAGCGCTCCGTATCCTCCCATTTAATCGCCTAATCACGCATTGAACCTATTTTGCACATGTCCATGTTACACGGTGTAACCTTCTCGCCAAACTTCTCGGTGCTCCACCTTCATGTAATAATGACGTAAACGTAAAACAAATCCAGTGCTTCCAAAGCTTCGCGGGGGGGGCTGCTGGGATGTTGTGCTCTTTGTTTCGTGAGACTTCTCCGCCTCGCTTCCAAGGTGGTCCGGTGTCCGTTATGCATCGTTATGCACGTATGAAGACGCCCCCCACCCCCCACCTTCGCCTCCTTTGTTTGTTGGAAGACGGGTGAAGTTTCTCCGGCTGCAGCTCCGAGCTGCTCTGATGCAATACTACAAGCGTTCACACGGCCAGACCGTAGGTACCCCGGCCTCTCAGAATGAATAATGAAGGCAATCATGTTGTGTATTTGTACTTGAGAGGTCAAGTCAGTGGAAGAACTGTGGTTATTTATTTTTATTACATCTCATCGAATGCATCGTAGGCCAGATTCATGAACGACTGTTATAAATAAACTGCTATCAAGAGGAAAATGTGCTTGTTTTCTGTTATTGGGTCATGTGGTTTTAGCCATTGACGTGCATTCAAAAGTAATTGTAAGAAGGATCTAGGAACCCTTAGTTCAAAAAAAAACAAAAAAAAAAAAACTTTACTAATCCCAAAGGGAAATGAAATATCCAAGAATTGTGGGTAAATTCTGACAGCTGTGAGCAGGAAGGATCTCCTGTAGCAGTCTGCACTACAGCGGCCCTGAATAAGCCTCTGAATTTGACTGAAGTATTCATACCCTTTGAATTTTGTTTTTCACATTAGAACTATAAACTTCACTCGTTTTTATTTTTGTTTTTCCTTCCAACTTCTTCACTTAAAAATAAAAAAGCGGGAACACGGGGAAGTTGAGGAAGAAGGTCAAAATTAACCGTGGAGTGCTGGCCCAGAGGGGCTCGAATGCACAACACATGTCTCAGATATTTACTGTAGGCAGTTTGATCGAGTTGGGATTTTAAAAAATTTTATTCCATAACAATATCGATTTTGCTGCTACAGCACAACAAAAATGAAAAATGGTTGAAGAAAAACGTAATACTTTTGCGAATCCTTGTACCAAGTAAAGAGCATCCTGTTCGTGACCCGCTATTTTTACTGCAAAAACAAAACCAAAAAACCATGAATAAATAAATGAAAGATGTTGTGTAATCATTTGAACAGCTCTGCGGGTTGCCAGTGATGCCTGATGTTGCTTAATCCCACTTTGCAGCCTCCCTGTAGTGCAACAAAGCAGAAGATCCTTATATAAGGCCCAGTGTGCAGCTTTCTCTCGACGAGGCGTGTTGGAGGAGCTCCTCGATTTCTGAGCAAAAGGTAACGTCCTTACAGCCGGCGAGAGGTGTGACCAGATAGGGAAAAGTGAATTGTAAGTGTTAATATTTCAGAATGGCTGTCGGAACGCTGACTCTGTGGCTCTTCCTGGTGGGGACGGTGCTGTCGCTGGGCAGGGGTCAGCACTGGTCATTCGGACTGAGCCCGGGCGGAAAGAGGGAACTGGATGGCTTCCCAAACACGCTGGACAGCGTAAGCACCTGAGCACTTATCCTAAACTTTGACCTTTAGTCATTTTGGTCGACGCTCTCCTTGTGTTTTCTCCCCTGTGACAGATTTTTGAAGGCTTCGCTCACATGGCTGCTCCTTGCAGCGTTCTGGGCCGTGGAGAGGAGTCACTGCCCGCCAAAATCTACAGAATGAAAGGACTTCTCGTGAGCTGTGGACTCCTGTGTTCTTGTGTCTTTCCACAATTAGGTCGAATCGGAGCTCTGTTGCTCATGTTTTTCTCTTCTTTCAGGGGAGCGTGTCTGAGAGGGACCACGGACACCAACCATTCGAAAAATGATGTCTGGTGTGTTTCTATGTGTTTGATTCAAACGTCATTAATTGCTGCGGAGCATGGCATCAGGTTCACAGCTCATGAATAAAAGTTGCTCAGTCTTTTTGCTTCACTCTGTTTCTGTCTTGGGGGATTTTGGTTTGTGCAACAACAAAAAAATAGGAAGAAAATCAAAGATATTAGCAAAAAGCACGCTGCACGTCTTGTTGATCTGCAACATTTCCAGTTTTTTGAATCTTCACAGGACATCTGCACTGGGCGAAAATTGGTAAACTCCAGTTACCAATTAGAAAACTTCAGAAATCTGGAATTATTTTTTTTATTTAAGGGTATTAGAGTAAAGAGGTCCAAATAGAAAATGATTTTGGAATTTTGTTTGCAAATGATGCATTAATAATTTGCGTTGAACATATTCTAAGTTGACCACATGAGAAAATGTCAGGAAATTCAAGGGACGCGAAAAGTTTTGCAAAATACTGTGATTAGACCTTTTTGATTCGTTCAGGTCCATCACCCTCCTGGATCATTTAGAACAATTGCCCCCATTTTTTTTTTTTTGCTTGTTGTTTTTTTTAGTGCAATATTTGCAAAATAAGTAAATAAATAAAAAGATATCCAAAGTGTGCATGATGCAGTGCACAATGCACAGGATGTCACCAAGATTGTGAAATGATCCTTTTATCTTGGAATTGGTGCCAGATCAACAACAGCTGGTCATCCAGAGAAATGACCGGCTGTAATGCTGCATTTCCTACCACCAGAGGGCACTAGAAAGAAACCAAACTTTTAATTGAACCGTGTCATCCTTCATTGTTTCATTCAGTGTGCAGCAGCATTTTGTTGAATCCCTCTTTGTTACCTCTGCTCCAGATTTGAGACTGCATCATATTACGCCAGTGGCGTTTTTGTTTTTGTTGTGTTTTTTTTTTGTTTGTTTTTTTTTTTTGTCATGTATTTATTGTGTGTATTGCTAAAGATAAAAATAATGGACTGAATGCCCATTTATTAGCATGCTGCCTGCTTTTGTTCATCCACACAGTGTCCCCTGTAGAATATTAAGCTGTTTTATTAAGACTGGACAATCAGCACGGCAATTGTCTGAGGCAGGCGACATGTGTGTTTGCCGACAGGGTATGAAATTTAAACAAACCGAGCCAGAGATCGAAGTTTATACATCGTCGCGCTTTCACTGTGGAATAACAGCCTGTAATATCCTGCTGGCAAGCAAATGGCCTGAGCACGGCCTTATCTTCAACGCAAAGTGTTTTTTTCTTTTTCAAATTAGTTCAATCCATCTGTCACTTAGGCATTACTTAGCAAACACACATGGCACAAAAAAGAAAAAAGTTTCAGCTGATGAGACTGAACCAACTTTCCAGCTTAGTCTGGAGACACCAAATCAATGCGGTGGTTATGCTTTATTAGCGTTCAGTGTGTGAGAAACAGCAGCAGGGTGTAAATGATTTACATAAGATCAATACCATCATGGACGATGGTTCTGTGCCAATCCACTTTTCTGTTTTTAATCAGAGGCATACGGCGATCGTCGCCCTGCGGTTAATCTGGAATATTAAATCGTTCAGAGGAAAGTAATGTGCAACGATCAGGGCTGAGGACACACACACACACACACACACACACACACACACACACACACACACACACACACACACACACACACACACACACTGCTGAGCACAGGCTCCCACAGCTGCGAAGTCCAATAATTACTTCTAATTTGTCTCACTCAGATCAGTCAGATGCATTGAACCAATCAGAGAAAACACTGACCAGAGTTTTCTTGTTTCTTTTCAACATGGCAGACTTTTACAATAATAAAATAAGCAAAAAAAATTAAACCGGTGGAGCAATTTACACGGCTTCACACAGAAAGTGTTTTGATCAAATTACAACCAGTTTTAAAATGTGATTAGTGCTATAAGCATCTTCTTTGTATTAAGTCAAAACAGAGACAAAACAAAAGGCCTTTAGACTTTGATTACGGAATAAAACATTGGTCAATTACTAATTTAGGTCGATTCTTTTAAGTTTCTATAGATTCCTAATACAACCCATACATGCAAGTGATGTTTGCATGATTAAAAAATTTATGACGGATATAGAAAATATGTCCAAAGACTTTATGAAACTGCATCGTCTGACGTTGCAAAAACAAAACAAAGAATGAGAATTTATTTTTCTGCGGATTTGTAGATTTTGTTTAAAATCAAAATATACAAAAGTACGTGCTGCCCCAGTCCTGGGTGTTCTGTAGGTTGTCATTCAGACATGAGGCTTACAGTAATAAAACAATAAAAGCAGCAAACCGAAGTGAATCGTCTGTGTCTGATCTTCAGGAAAGGGGAAGCACCTGACATGAGGCGGGGCTGCTGTTCAAGAGAAAGATTTTATCAACCCGTTTAACTGACTCATAAGTGAGCAGAGATAAATAAACAAACAGACAAAAATTAAAATCCTGAATGTTTTGCTTGCCAGAACCAAAAATGATTTGGGACATTAAATCTTTCAAATTTAATGTCCCTTTGCTAATAATAAGATAGAACATAAAAAATACTTGTTTTGTTTTTTTTTCATTAGAAAAGCAGGCTAATTAAAATGCTTAAAACAACAGCTTGCGCACATCTCCAGCCAACTAGTTCACGTTGTCCCTGCGATCTGGTGAGATTGCTTATGAGAATCTCTCACTAAATTAAAAGGGAGCCAAGATGCTAATCTTTCTGGAACTGCTCCACCGACGAGGAGAGTCTGGCCCCGTGGACTCGTTAGGGGCCCGTCTCCAGCTGAGTTTCATTTCGCAGCGCAGTGAAAATGCTTCGGGCCTGGTTACAGTGTCACAGTGGTTAAAAGAAATGAAAGAAGAAGAAAAAGAGCACAAGACGTCGAAACTCAAGCGCCACTCATTGCCCAGTGCCACGGGAGCATGGCGGCACCTCCGGTGCCATGAGCGCTTTGGTCGTCACTAAACAAGAGCAGGTGAGAGAGAGGCCTGAACAGAGGAGGCCAGAGTCTGACTGCAGAAGGTCAGTCCAGGTCAAGGCAGCAGAAGCGTACAGTTAATTGTGCCGACAAGGACCTATGAGAGCTCTCTTACGGGCTGAACTGCCTTTGGAAAACAACCTGCGGTTGTGCCTTTTATTACGCGCACTCCACAAATCATAAAAACGAAGCCCTGTGTGGTAAGCTGAAAACATTTCCCCTTTTGTTCCGTCTCAGTTGCTTTTCTCTGCTGCGGCGCCAGCCTCACGTGAACCAAAAACACGGTTCACACGAGACTTCCTCCTACCGACATTTCCCATTGTTTCCAATGAATCTCCTTTACATCCCAAACATCTGCAGCGCCGAAAGGGACGGCCGGTGTTTCCAACTCCACATGCGTGTCTGAAAGGTTCGTCGCCACAGATGTCCCCCTGAATAATGCAAACTCAAACAGCACACTTAGCTCGACCTCAGACACGTCTTGAAATATTCATTTTGTGAAAAGATGACTTGCATCTGTTGCGGTCTGCAATAGGTCGTAAAGCTCCAATATTAATCAGATGCTAACAGGATAGCAGATAAACACACCAGGTTCATGTTCTCTTTCGGTTAATCAGTGACGATTCAAACCTTTCGCCGCATGCGTGTGTGTTTTCCTTTGTTTATGTGAGACCAGCTCCTGATATCAAACTTTGATTTGATCAAAAACAGCTGCACCGTCTTTGTTCAGGTGACAAGAGTTTAGTGGTTTCTTTGAGTCGTGTGTCTAGTTGGTAAAACTCTTAACACCATTTAAAAGATATAAAATGATAATATTTATGCTGCATTCAAATGGTCAGATTCCTCTTTTTAAATTCTCGATCAGTTTCTTAAAATAAGACGTTGACTGCACTTTTTAATTTCTTATTTCATAGGAGCCTATAAAACGCGATTGCTTTCAGAAGAGACCTTTTCACTTTAGCAAACACAACTGCTAGTATAAATCTGGCCTGGAACATCAGTTGGAGAACATTCGTGAACAAACAGCATCATGAGATGACGGAGGAACACAGCAGACAGGTCAGGGATAAGGCTGCAAAGACGTTTATGGTCAGGCTGGGTCATAAAACAATATGTCAAACTTTGGACTGAGCTTTACTCCATCATCCAAAAATGAAAAGAGTATGACGCAACTGCAATCCTAACAAAAAAAACGGCTGAAAATGAGTCGCATGATGACACAAGCGTTGTAGAAAACACTGCAAGCGTGGCAGAATGTGTGCTGGTCGCATGAATCGAAATGGATCTCTTTGACTCGCATGCAAAATGCTATGTCTGAGAAAACTGAAACTGTGCATCATTTACACAGAAAAACATAACGGTGGCTGGGAAAGGAAGGGACAGGGACATTGGTCAGGGTTGATGGGAATATAACAGGTTGAAAAACATTCGAGACTGGGACAGAGGTTTACCTCCCACAACCTTACACACAGCATAACAGTCCAGTCAGAGAGCAAACCTACATTTGACTGAGAATTTGCAGCAAAACTTAAAATTCCTGTTTGCAGGTATCAGTCATCCAATTTGACAGAGCTTGACTTCATGTATGCTGTTTCTCGTTTCACAATTATTTTGTCTTGGCTTAACATGTAAAATCCAAATAAAATACATCAAAGTTTTGGGGGGGTTGGGAATACTTTTTGTACATTTAAAATCACAATTTAGGTTTTAGGTCTCAAGTATGGGTGCAATAACTGGAAATGTCAGATTAAAACGTGATGTAATGAAGTTTATTGTTTTAACGTAACATAGCTTTAACCCAAATATTACAACACAGGTTTAATCAGCAAAGAGAACGTATACGATTTAAATGCACAAAGTGTCTAACAACAGGTCCACCAAGAGATATTTGCTAGGCTACAAAGTGCTCTTTACTTTAGACCACACCATAAACTATAACTCTGTCATGTGATATATATACAGCAGAAGAGACCTGCTCTGACAAAGTCCTTTACTGTCACTTTTATTTTGTTTTATTGCAGTTGATATATGATTGCTGTACGGCACACAGTATGATAGGGGTGTCAGACTCCAGTCCTCGAGGGCCGGTGTCCTGCAACTTTTA